AATTCAAAAGTCGCCTGCTCACCCTTGATTGGTGTTTGAACTTTTGATTGTTTAACTGAAGGAGCTAAAGGAATTACTCCTTTATTGACACTAACAGACAATTCATTTTCAATATTTCATAAATTGAAATCCGCCGAGTTTTTCATCTTTCATAAAGACAGAGTCATATATTGACAGAATTATTTTAATATCGTGTCTGGTCATGTGTAATTAAACGAAGGGGGAGGGGAGGGGAGTTTGTCCTGTCTCTCCCTCCCTGCGATTAATTTCTCTAACTGCCTCTTGACGTTTAAGTCGCATGAAAATGAATTGTATGACAGCGTACAGACTTTGTATAACAGTATGTTTGGTAATAATTGATTTGTTTTAGCGTATTTCCCATATATGGAATAAGCTATACCGTAGGTATCATGGCAATACCAGAACCCTGTACCGATTTCGTTTTAAGGTCCCCAGAGGCCAAAAACACCATCCGTTCAAATTAATATACAGTAGAACCTTGATGACAAGACTCTCAAGGGGATTATTAAATGAGACTTGTTATCAAGGTTGACTCCTTATTGAGATTGCAATAACATTTGATTTGGGGTCAAATATATTCAAGGGGATTTGAAAATGACACTTGTTATCGAGGTTCCACTGTATGTGTCCGTTAGCACAATAACTACAGCAAAAATATTCGATCGTATAACCAGCATGATCGGAATAAGGGGACGGGGGTTCATCGGGGGTTTTAAAGGGCAAACACCTAAAAATCCTAAAAACATAAAATTTCCAAATTATTTATCTCTAAACCATTTGTATAAGCTTTAAAGCAGATAATTTAGTATATTGATGGTTTTTGTACGGTTGTTGGTTATGAATGAAATTAAAAAATGTAAATGTAAAATTACTATATTATACCAAAGAAGAATAGGTCAAATGAAGAATAAATAAACGGCTGTAGTTCGCTTATTTATGGATATTTTAATGAAATTTGGCAATGTTTTTAATTTGTACTAACCTATCAACATTTCAATATAAACACACGCCTTATTACCTTACCTGTGCCAAAAGAATAAACTATCTTAACTGAACACAATTATTAATTAATTATCTTATTCAATAATTGTATTGAGTTAGCCGTAAGTGTGAACTAAGTAGCCTTCTACAAACGTTCTGAATTTTCCTCAATCAAACATTGCGTCTAAAAGTACTCCTTAACAATTTAAAAGCTTTGGAAAACGCCCTCAGTAAATAAATCAAAACGAAATATGCTTATAGTACGCCTAAATAGTAATAGTACAGAACGTAGATTATTTATTTACCCGTATAAGCTTATACAAATTTGATCTATTATGGTTCTGTACTATTTTTTCTCATTTCTATAAGTGTGAATTTTATTTAACATTGGATATTGTAATTAGTTTTGTCAACAGAATAAATATGCTATCAAAAGTAGAGTTTTGTTTCTGTTGATTCCATGCACGCTACAAAAGGCAATAAGCTAATAGTTACGATAAAAGTTGTACGGTAATTCAAATATTTTATATGAACTCTACAACATCGTGCATTTTAGTACTTCGTGTAACTAATGCAAGAATTTTTATTTTATTTTCGTGTCTGTCATAATACTATCTTGTTAAATTTGTATAGTGATATAATGCCGATAGTTTGAGTTTTAATCCGTAATGGGTATTTTTAAATATTCTTAAACACTATGTAAGTAAGTTAATAGCATAAAAAATGTCATTAAAATACTTATTATTGAATACAATAATCTGTTTTAACACTCTTACTCACTGTCCAGTAAATTGTAAAATTGAGAAATATTATTCACTTATCAACAAATATAATTGAAATTGTCTTTTCGGTGACGAACTCCATTAGTTTAAAAGGATCCATTGTGTAAGTTTCTCCCAGGGGCTTCAGGGGATTTGGTAAGATTTTAACACAATCTGCTAATGTTGAGAATAGAAACCGATCGGATCATTTGTTAGAACCGAGATCCGTAGATTACGGGGTTAAGCGGAGAAACAGGCTAAATGGAGCACACTGATAGATGAACTGGGATGTTTTTGTATGAAATAAATGCTCTTGAGTGAATTCCGATCAATTAAATATACTAGTTTTGAGAGAAAACTGCAATACAGATAGAGTACTCCTCACCTGAGAAATCTACCTTTTTACCATTTTATACAGGGTGATCAACTCAAGGAGGCCACCATTGGAATATCGGAAACAGTAAGAATTATAGAAAACTTGAAATGGGGGACATTCCTTTATTTTTTGTGGAAGTTAAAAACATTAATTGATTTTTTTTGTAATTCAGCCACCATTTCCCAATATGGCGGCCAACTTTGAAATTTCTCATGGTACCCTATATTTTATCATGTTTTTGGATAGAACATGCAATTTAAAAACTTTTTTATTCTTTACCCATGAACCCAATCGCTTATAAAATAGGAGTTACAGCCGATGAAAAAATTACTTCCGTTGTACATTTTGCATCATGTAGCTCATAAACGAGTATGTTTAGAGCAAAAATGCGAAGAATAAATGAGTCTTAAAATCGCATCTACATTCGAAAAAGACCATAAAATACAGTTTTCCTTTTTTTAAGTTTGCTGCGTTTTTTAAACAATAGAAACAATATTTTGTACTTAAGGTTTATGGTTTAGTCGAACCATGAGCTAAAAGTGGCCTCCGAACCATCGGAAGTAAATATAAATGTAATAAGTTGTTCGACTTCTTTTTGTTGGAGTAAAATCAGACTTAATGCCCAAAATAGTAAATACTGAGCGTTACCTAATTAAAAATACAATTTTAATCAAACGAGCAACTATCTAAGGTAAATTCTTTCAACTCTGTGTGGCCTGCAAAAAGAGGAACTTTCCTAAAATCATGTTAGAACGGTGTTAGAACCATGAACACTTATCTTTCACTTCAATTTCAGCACTATGGTCTTGACACGGTACAAATCATGAGATGGATACACACATAAAATTTAAAACTAGTAAAAAGCTTAAGAAATACTACAGTATTTAAAAATCTAGGTCTACAGACAGTTCGCCAGGGTGGTCCTATACACGAGCCTGGTACCATACCATCATTCTACACCTGTTTTCTTGGCTGCGGGCCGCTTGATACCTACAATTTAGATATTTAAATAGCGCCAATAGACTCCTCGATGGTCTAAATAACTACCGTTCTATTGCTCTTTTCTGTAAACACTGGCCTTACAATGAATTTCTGTTTTGAAGTAAACGCCCTCCGATTTGGTTAATCGATAAGAAACTAACAGGTGTTTGACCATTTTCCTGCTGTGCAAAGAATTTGTTCAAACTTGTGATCAATTCTGAATTATCTTTAACTTTATCGCTGTGCAGGCAGTTTTAACTATGAAACAACTTTACCAGCTTGTATTATTATAGTATCAGTCATTATGTGATCATTTTACAGTTTTTAGTTCTTGATTAACGCAGTATTGAATTACGCAAATTTCTTTGAAAAAATATTGTGTTTAACCAGTTTTTTAGTAACACTGGCATAGGAAAATTAACCCCTTATCGACTTTCTTATCCATTGCTGGTAAGGAATATTTACTTAAATTTAAAGAACAATAATTAACGTTGAAAACAAAGATAAAGTAGATACTTTTAAGTGGAAATACACATTGCAAATTTTTGAATTTTATTTCAGAGGTGAACAAACAAATAGCTAAAATTAATAAAAATGAAAAACTTGTACAAGCAACTCGATTTAAAAAAATTGAAGCGTTCATAATTAATCTTTTGTCACAATTGAAAATACAGTACTTCAGTATGCAATTATTAACACGTGGACCATTAAGAAGACAACTTTTATACATGTTTAAGTCCGGTATCCGTTATGGTGTTTTCTTGTTTGTATGTAGGTAAATTTGATATCTTAAGTATTAAGAAACTACAGTTTGCCCTCTGGTGTTAATAAATAAACTAAACTCTGTAGGATTTACTCTGAATAGAAACATTTCTGGACATGAGACTGGCTTTTAAATAAGAGCCGCTTTACAACAGAACGAGAAACCTACCTGCACTACCAATATCGTAATTTTTCATCAAATCTTTGGTTTAAAATATGGACTGAGGTATTAAAAAACAAAGTGAAGAAATGGTTTAAATTGTTTAATTAGACTAATGTATAAAAAATAACATTAAAGAACCTTTTTATGAATAACCTAAAAATATATTATATTATTAAATAACGAATTCCGAAAATCCAAATATCTTATATTACGTGATGTCTTGTATTTGGACAACTTTTACAGGATTGTCGCTGCCAACAATCATACATTTATTTTTAACTAAAAAGGACAACACGCAAAATTAGCTATGTTTTGTAAGCAATTTATCCTACGAGATCGTAATTAGGTCAACCACCACACAATTAACGCCTTATATTTTGCTCAATATTATGGAAAACTGATTAAATATGATGATTTCTCGAGAAAATTATAGAAAGCAAAACAATACAAAAACGTTATGTAAAAATTCCGACCAATTTGTAGCACTAACTGAGGCGCTAAAAATTTCAAAGTATCGTACTTTCCACGTTTACACGTCACAACCGTCAATAAAACAGTTACACTCAATAACAGTCAATTAAGTTGACAAAAAATTATTAACTGTACAAATAAATAATATATGCTAACCCACAGAGGAAAAACAACAAAAAACACGTTGATGAATTTATTAATTTCGTCAGAAATTAACGCCGAAACTCGGCGGAGTCTAAGTCCTCCGTCGGCCTCCGACGGAATTCTGAAACGCGACGGAGATTCCGTCGTGCATAAAAGGGTCCCATTTGATCCCATGTTAAAACACTCACCGACGGAAAGCCCGATAGATTCTGATAGATTCCGCCCGACGGAAAACGCCGTGCATAAAAGAGGCATTAGGTATACCTTTTACCTTTGGTTATTTTCTTGACGACAAACAGTTGAATGCCAAAAATTAATCAACAAATGCATGAATAATAAAATATGTTTTAAATATCTTTTATAATAATGGTTCTCATTTTGTTCAAAATAGACGAATCTTAGCCTAATTGCATAGGTACAAATAATTGGTTCCCTTAACCTATACACATTTTAGAAAAATATATTCCACTTTGTACAGATAATTCTATCGACTATTTCATATTATTTTAATTATGAAAAATCAACAATATCTACAAAATTAAGACCAACATATCAACTTCCAAAGAAAAACACCTTTGAACAAATACTGTAATGTATATGTAAAACATTATTTTTTATTAATCCACAACTGTTATATTTTTGCACAGACTTTTACAAAGGTTTTGATGAATCTTCCATCACACGCCTCACTGTACATTAATTTTAATGCTATGTCATTTAGATTAGCAGTATTATATTACAATTTATCGTAATTTGGAGGTAACCAAACAATATTTTGACCTAAGTAAGGCATTTGGAGTCAATCATTCTAGACTTTGTAGCTAGGTTACAGGCACGATCAACTAATACGCCTGCAGAAGTCCAGTCCCTGAAACACAACCGATACAAATACAAAGATTATTTTAATCTTTAAGAACTGAGTAAACTAAGTCTATGGTACTATAGTTACTTATAATACATTTCCCCATAGGGAATCAGTTCCTATATCAGTTCCTATATAAAGTGATCACAAGACGACGACAGACTACAGTGCTATAGTTAGCTAGTTTGTATCCTCACATTCATTTGTTATACTTTGTACCATAACAATCAGTTCCTGTATAAAGTGATCACAAGACGACGACAGACTACAGTGGTACAGTTAGCTAGTTTGTCTCCCCACATTCATTTGTTATACTTTGTACCGTAACAATCAGTTCCTATATAAAGTGATCACAAGACGACGACAGACTACAGTGGTACAGTTAGCTAGTTTGTCTCCCCACATTCATTTGTTATACTTTGTACCGTAACAATCAGTTCCTATATAAAGTGGTCACAAGACGACGACAAACTACAGTGGTACAGTTAGCTAGTTTGTCTCCTCACATTCATTTGTTATACTTTGTACCGTAACAATCAGTTCCTATATAAAGTGATCACAAGACGACGACAGACTACAGTGGTACAGTTAGCTAGTTTGTCTCCCCACATTCATTTGTTATACTTTGTACCGTAACAATCAGTTCGTATATAAAGTGATCACAACACGACGACAAACTACAGTGCTACAGTTAGCTAGGTTGTCTCCCCACATTCATTTGTTATACTTTGTACCGTAACAATCAGTTCGTATATAAAGTGATCACAACACGACGACAGACTACGGTGCTACAGTTAGCTAGTTTGTCTTCCCACATTTATTTGTTATACTTTGTACCGTAACAATCAGTTCGTATATAAAGTGATCACAACACGACGACAAACTACAGTGCTACAGTTAGCTAGTTTGTCTTCCCACATTTATTTGTTATACTTTGTACCGTAACAATCAGTTCGTATATAAAGTGATCACAACACGACGACAAACTACAGTGCTACAGTTAGCTAGTTTGTCTCCCCACATTCATTTGTTATACTTTGTACCGTAACAATCAGTTCGTATATAAAGTGATCACAAGACGACGACAGACTACAGTGGTACAGTTAGCTAGTTTGCCTCCCCACATTCATTTGTTATACTTTGTACCGTAACAATCAGTTCCTGTATAAAGTGATCACAAGACGACGACAGACTACAGTGGTACAGTTAGCTAGTTTGTCTCCCCACATTCATTTGTTATACTTTGTACCGTAACAATCAGTTCCTATATAAAGTGATCACAAGACGACGACAGACTACAGTGGTACAGTTAGCTAGTTTGTCTCCCCACATTCATTTGTTATACTTTGTACCGTAACAATCAGTTCCTATATAAAGTGGTCACAAGACGACGACAAACTACAGTGGTACAGTTAGCTAGTTTGTCTCCTCACATTCATTTGTTATACTTTGTACCGTAACAATCAGTTCCTATATAAAGTGATCACAAGACGACGACAGACTACAGTGGTACAGTTAGCTAGTTTGTCTCCCCACATTCATTTGTTATACTTTGTACCGTAACAATCAGTTCGTATATAAAGTGATCACAACACGACGACAAACTACAGTGCTACAGTTAGCTAGGTTGTCTCCCCACATTCATTTGTTATACTTTGTACCGTAACAATCAGTTCGTATATAAAGTGATCACAACACGACGACAGACTACGGTGCTACAGTTAGCTAGTTTGTCTTCCCACATTTATTTGTTATACTTTGTACCGTAACAATCAGTTCGTATATAAAGTGATCACAACACGACGACAAACTACAGTGCTACAGTTAGCTAGTTTGTCTCCTCACATTCATTTGTTATACTTTGTACCGTAACAATCAGTTCGTATATAAAGTGGTCACAAGACGACGACAAACTACAGTGGTACAGTTAGCTAGTTTGTCTCCTCACATTCATTTGTTATACTTTGTACCGTAACAATCAGTTCCTATATAAAGTGATCACAAGACGACGACAGACTACAGTGCTACAGTTAGCTAGTTTGTCTCCCCACATTCATTTGTTATACTTTGTACCGTAACAATCAGTTCGTATATAAAGTGATCACAACACGACGACAGACTACGGTGCTACAGTTAGCTAGTTTGTCTTCCCACATTTATTTGTTATACTTTGTACCTTAACAATCAGTTCCTATATAAAGTGATCACAAGACGACGACAGACTACAGTGCTACAGTTAGCTAGTTTGTCTCCTCACATTCATTTGTTATACTTTGCACCGTAATCAGTTCCTATATAAAGTGATCACAAGACGACGACAGACTACAGTGGTACAGTTAGCTAGTTTGTCTCCCCACATTCATTTGTTATACTTTGTACCGTAACAATCAGTTCCTATATAAAGTGATCACAAGACGACGACAGACTACAGTGCTACAGTTAGCTAGTTTGTCTCCCCACATTCATTTGTTATACTTTGTACCGTAACAATCAGTTCCTATATAAAGTGGTCACAAGACGACGACAAACTACAGTGCTACAGTTAGCTAGTTTGTCTCCCCACATTCATTTGTTATACTTTGTACCTTAACAATCAGTTCCTATATAAAGTGATCACAAGACGACGACAGACTACAGTGCTACAGTTAGCCAGTTTGTCTCCCCACATCCATTTGTTATACTTTGCACCGTAATCAGTTCCTATATAAAGTGATCACAAGACGACGACAGACTACAGTGCTACAGTTAGCTAGTTTGTATCCTCACATTCATTTGTTATACTTTGTACCGTAACAATCAGTTCCTATATAAAGTGATCACAAGACGACGACAGACTACAGTGCTACAGTTAGCTAGTTTGTATCCTCACATCCATTTGTTATACTTTGTACCGTAACAATCAGTTCCTATATAAAGTGATCACAAGACGACGACAGACTACAGTGCTACAGTTAGCTAGTTTGTATCCTCACATCCATTTGTTATACTTTGTACCGTAACAATCAGTTCCTATATAAAGTGATCACAAGACGACGACAGACTACAGTGCTACAGTTAGCTAGTTTGTATCCTCACATCCATTTGTTATACTTTGTACCGTAACAATCAGTTCCTATATAAAGTGATCACAAGACGACGACAGACTACAGTGCTACAGTTAGCTAGTTTGTTTCCTCACATTCATTTGTTATACTTTGTACCGTAACAATCAGTTCCTATATAAAGTGATCACAAGACGACGACAGACTACAGTGCTACAGTTAGCTAGTTTGTATCCTCACATTCATTTGTTATACTTTGTACCGTAACAATCAGTTCCTATATAAAGTGATCACAAGACGACGACAGACTACAGTGCTACAGTTAGCTAGTTTGTCTCCCCACATCCATTTGTTATACTTTGCACCGTAATCAGTTCCTATATAAAGTGATCACAAGACGACAGACTACAGTGCTACAGTTAGCTAGTTTGTCTCCCCACATTCATTTGTTATACTTTGTACCTTAACAATCAGTTCCTATATAAAGTGATCACAAGACGACGACAGACTACAGTGCTACAGTTAGCTAGTTTGTCTCCCCACATTCATTTGTTATACTTTGTACCGTAACAATCAGTTCCTATATAAAGTGATCACAAGACGACGACAGACTACAGTGCTACAGTTAGCTAGTTTGTCTTCCCACATTTATTTGTTATACTTTGTACCGTAACAATCAGTTCCTATATAAAGTGATCACAAGACGACGACAGACTACAGTGCTACAGTTAGCTAGGTTGTCTCCTCACATTCATTTGTTATACTTTGCACCGTAATCAGTTCCTATATAAAGTGATCACAAGACGACGACAGACTACAGTGGTACAGTTAGCTAGTTTGTCTCCCCACATTCATTTGTTATACTTTGTACCGTAACAATCAGTTCCTATATAAAGTGATCACATGACGACGACAGACTACAGTGCTACAGTTAGCTAGTTTGTCTCCCCACATTTATTTGTTATACTTTGTACCGTAACAATCAGTTCCTATATAAAGTGATCACAAGACGACGACAGACTACAGTGCTACAGTTAGCTAGTTTGTCTCCCCACATTCATTTGTTATACTTTGTACCGTAACAATCAGTTCCTATATAAAGTGATCACAAGACGACGACAGACTACAGTGCTACAGTTAGCTAGTTTGTCTTCCCACATTTATTTGTTATACTTTGTACCGTAACAATCAGTTCCTATATAAAGTGATCACAAGACGACGACAGACTACAGTGCTACAGTTAGCTAGGTTGTCTCCTCACATTCATTTGTTATACTTTGCACCGTAATCAGTTCCTATATAAAGTGATCACAAGACGACGACAGACTACAGTGGTACAGTTAGCTAGTTTGTCTCCCCACATTCATTTGTTATACTTTGTACCGTAACAATCAGTTCCTATATAAAGTGATCACAAGACGACGACAGACTACAGTTAGCTAGTTTGTCTCCCCACATTCATTTGTTATACTTTGTACCGTAACAATCAGTTCCTATATAAAGTGATCACAAGACGACGACAGACTACAGTGCTACAGTTAGCTAGTTTGTCTTCCCACATTTATTTGTTATACTTTGTACCGTAACAATCAGTTCCTATATAAAGTGATCACAAGACGACGACAGACTACGGTGCTACAGTTAGCTAGTTTGTCTCCCCACATTCATTTGTTATACTTTGTACCGTAACAATCAGTTCCTATATAAAGTGATCACAAGACGACGACAGACTACGGTGCTACAGTTAGCTAGTTTGTCTCCCCACATTCATTTGTTATACTTTGTACCGTAACAATCAGTTCCTATATAAAGTGATCACAAGACGACGACAGACTACAGTGCTACAGTTAGCTAGTTTGTCTCCCCACATTCATTTGTTATACTCTTGACCATAACAATCAGTTCCTATATAAAGTGATCAGACGACGACAGACTACAGTGCTACAGTTAGCTAGTTTGTCTCCC